GGCTCAGCAGAAGATCCAGACTCTAAATGCCCTTCATCGCGGCTGCACCGAGCATTATTGCCACCTCACAGGGTCAGTTACGGGATCTCAAAGCGGCGACGCTGATGTGAGCAAATGTGATAAGTACTCAGCAGCCAATAAGAGCACAGTATGCCAATACTCGCCTACTCGTCAAGTGCCAGCATTGACTCAAGTCCAGCCTTTCAAAGGTACCAGCACCCTCGCGAACCCCTCTCATATGGCGACTAAAATTCTGTCCTCAGGCAATCTCAGTCCTTATGCCAAGTGTGACACCATCCAAACGAAACCAGTAGTCACCAGGCCTCCGGATATTTGCGAATGTCACAGTCCAGGCATAGGCCCCGCGCAAATTATGGCCAACCCGAGATCCTCATCCAGGAATTTTTATAATATGCAGAACTTTAGCAGCTTTAGTGATAGTACAATTTACAGACTGCAAAACAATGCTATGTTTGCTACAGAACATGTTTGAGGCGCTAAAATTAAAAAGCTTGACTCTTTTTCTTGCTATGAACAGCCCAAATAATTAGGTTAACGACTTTGAGCTTTTGTTAGAAAAAATATTTTTTTAATCGCAATTCAAGTTTTTCTTCTAATTGCTTTTTGCCTAGATTGTCCTCTATATAACTATTTTATTAACCTCGCTTTAGACTGCAGCGCACAACTTTGTGAATGCGTATTTGAATGCCATCTGAACGCCAAACATTAAGTTTTTGGTTAAAATGCTGCAAAATTCAGGATGTTTTTCACAGTTTTCGAGAAAGCGTAAATTAAACCTCTGATGTCATGAATAAACAAGGATAGCCGTTTACTGTGTAAGTAGCACAGAATGTTCCGACAATAGCCTTACAAAATACAAAAAAGAATTTCAAATTAGAGTAGTTTTTTTCTGGGTGGTGTGATAAAAAGACCTGAACGGAAAAAATAGAAGCAACACATATTCGCATACTTGACAGGCAAAGTAAAAAAGGCCAATTGGAAAACCATTTTTGTTGAAAAATGACCAAACTTTTTTCCTAAACTTTAATTTTTTTTGCTGTTGAAGTTTGTTGATGCCCAAAATGTCGCTAAATGCTCCATAAAGTAACTTTATTTGATTAAAATTAGTTTACAGCCTGAATAAAATAAAGTATAAACAGGCTATTGCAAGCCTGGAAGCTCACTTTATTAACTCGAAATTCAAAATTTTCAAACCGTTTTTTCTCGACACAAGGATTTTTTTTTAAGGTCGTTTGAATTACGGCTGATAGGGCCTTATTATGATAAGTTACTCAACTCAGTCAGATGATCGTTTGTGACACCTGATTTTGCGAGGAAAACAAACAGAAAATAACCACAAAAAAAATAAAAAATAGTACCATGTTCCTCCCCATCTTTAAAATGGTCGGAACAAAAACGAGACTTAAATAGTATCAGGAAATTAACTATTCAGCGCTGAAACTCGACGTCACTGCAGTTTTTTGGCGACCGGAAAATTTTAGCCTGTCAGAAATCTCACAACAAGCAGTTCTACCATCAATGCTACAGTGCTGATTTAAATTAAGCGACACAAAGATAAACTTTCAAAAATCCAACGCTTTTTTTTAAAATTGGGATAAACCGAAGCAAAAAAGAGGATAACGAAATTTGCATAGATTTTCATTAAAAGTATTATAAAGCATTTTTTCTCCGAAATTCTCAAGAACAGTTTAACCCCAAAAAGGGGTAATTTTGGCTTATTTAATTAATCAAGAATTACGCTGAAAATGCCGAGTTAATATATGGGTTATTTTGAAAAAAGCTTCCTACACACCTCAGATTAGTACAAAAGGGGGACCCTATGAGTCGGCAAGGGGTCGAATCTCTAAGCGGAAAGGCATCCCACCGCTTCCCCTCCCCTCAAAAAAAATCTACTGGTGTACAGAAGCACAACTTTCAAAAATCTGCAAAAGAGAATGTATTTTTCGTTGCTAGTCAAAAAGGTCAATTTTTCTCTACAGAAATCAAAATTGTTACTTGAAAGCAGTTTTTCAAAATTTTTGCAATTTTTTTTGGAAATTCAACCTTTCTAGAACTTTGTTGGTTTGCGTAAGTTGCTGCTTTTGATATAGCTTTCTTATGAAACAATTGGCAG